CGCAATTGCTGGGTCATGGGGTAGTTCTATTTTTAATTTTTTGAGGAAGCTCCATACTGTTTTCCAGAGTGGCTGCACCAGTTTGCATTCCCACCAGTAGTGCAAAAGAGATCCTCTTTCTCCGCATCCTCGCCAACATCTGTTGTTGTCTGAGTTGTTAATGTTAGCCATTCTGACAAGTGTGAGGTGGTATCTCATTGTGGTTTTGATTTGTATTTCCCTGATGATGAGTGATGTGGCGCATTTTTTCATGTGTCGATTGGCCATCTGGATGTCTTCTTTGGAGAAGACATTCATGTCTTTTGCCCATGAGATGAGCATTCTTCTTCTTTTTTTAAAATGTTTTATTTATTTTTGACAGAGAGAGACAGAGCACGAGCAGGGGAGGGGCAGAGAGAGAGGGAGACACAGAATCCGAAGCAGGCTCCAGGCTCTGAGCTGTCAGCACAGAGCCTGACGCAGGGCTCGAACTCACAGACCGCAAGATCATGACCTGAGTCCAAGTCAGACGCTTAACCTACTGAGCCACCCAGGCGCCCCGAAATAAGCATTATTCTTAAAGTGTTTTATGAAATACAAAATCTATATGCTTTAACAAATAGTTTTAGTGAACATCCATTTAATCACTACCCAAGTCAAGAAATGTAATCCACATCCTATAGGCCTATCTTGTACTCTCTCCCTTCACGGAGATAAATACTACTAGCCCCACTTTTTTCTGAACCTCCATGCTATTCTTTCTTTTTAGCAGTATATTTATTAATTTTTTTTAATGTTTATTTATTTTTGAGAGAGAGAGAGAGAGAGAGAGTAGGGGACGGGCAGAGAGAGAGGCACAGAATCCAAAGCAAGCTCTACGCTCCGAGCTGTCAGCAAAGAGCCCAATGAGGGGCTGGAACCCATGAACTATGAGATCATGACCTGAGCCGAAGTTGGACGCTTAACCGACTGGGCCACCCAGGCGTCCCTCTGGATCTCCTTATAGCCCTCAACCACAGAGCCAGTGAGTGTTAGGGATCTTAGGCACGGTTGAATCCATGACTATCCCTCATTTGGTACATCAGTTCAGAGGAGACAATGATTCAACTAAGGTCACACAGAGTTACAGAATCTTAGTCTCCTCTTTCTTAGTCCAGTGCTCTTTCCAATGGCTCATTATCTCTTCTCAGCTCGGTGCAGTGGGGACCCCAAAGGTGCCATCCAAGCCAATGCCCGGGAGGTAAATACGCAAGACCAGCCTTACCTTGTCGTCATCTGTGAGCGGCGGCCCCTTCGCTGCACCTGCCGGTGTTTTATCATTATGTTCCAAGGGTTCTGTGGGGACCAAGGGAACGGTTGTCACTGAGGTCCATGACACTGGGGTGGAGGGTGGAGATGAACTTAAACGTAAACATCCCCGCTTCTCTGGGACGGGGTTTGCGGGAGGGCAGCGGTTGAAAGGCCCTGCCCGGGAGGAGGAACTGAAGAAAAGTTTCCTGCCTCGAAAGGTCCCAACCCCACCTTTTCTGGAACGGCAGTTGGAAGGTAACCAGTGTTTACCGAGGGGCTGGCTACTCTGGGGCAGGTGGTGTGCTGGGCGCTTTCCTCGTACTTACACCCCATCCCCACAACTTTATGAGGCAGGCACTAATCATCTCCATTTTACAGAAGAGGAAACTGGAGCTCAGGGGTTGGCAGGACTTGCTCACGTCACCTAGCTAGGAAGGCGGCATCAGAATTTGAATCCAGGTCGTTGGACTGCGAAAACGCCAACTCCCTGGGCAGCAGCACCAGCCGCCGCGTTCTCTCACCCGCGGGCCAGGGTCCCGGGAGCCCGAGGCCCAGCCGGCCCGAGCCCAGGCCCAGCCCCGGCCTCCCCGGGGGCGCCCTCACCGTGAGAACCAGCTGCCCCGCTGCGCCCGCGTCGCCCAGGTCGGGGCCGCCCCGCTCTGCCCCGCTGGGTCCCCGCGGCTGCTCGGCGTCGCCAGTGGCCCCCATCGCTCCCCCGGCCCCCACAACTTCAGACCGACTCTACCACCGGCCGGAAAGTGGCCTGGTGACGTCATTGCAGCGCGCCGTTCGCCGGCCCGGAAGCGCGCCGCGGGGAGCTGCGGCGTTTCCATGGGAACCAAACGGCTGCGTCTCGCCAGGGTCTGAGACGCCTACAGGCGCTGAGTGCGCGGTCGCCGGGGCTGCGTCCGGGGCGGGGCCGCGCCTCCCGTGTAGGCTGTGGGTGTTTGGTCCCGGAACGCTCCCCGTTGGGTCAAGGCCGGTGGAGAAGTGTGGGGCAGGAGGAGGGCAGCAGGCTCCCTGGGCTGGGGTTGGGGAGCGGAGGGGAGCACAGCGGCGCCTACAGTCCAGTCTTTGAAAGCCGTAGAATTTAATATGCCTCGTACTCATCCCCTACGGAATGGAGGGAGTGGGCCTACTACGAGGACCCGATAACCCAACAAGAGGGGGTCTGGCCCATGCCGTCCCAAACGCTTACCCACCGGGGCCCTCCAGGCCTAGACGCCAGGGGCTGCCTCTAGCATCTGAAGGCATCATAATGAAGGTTGAGTCTTGGGCCGTGGACTCCCCAAGCCCCAGGGAGCTGGGCTTCTATCCCCAGAGGGGTGATTCTGGGATGGGCAGGGGATGCAAGGGGTTAACAGCTATGGAGCTCCTCTTAGCTCTGGCTTAGATTTAAGAGGTCCGTGAAGAGAACTGGATCGATTTATGGGTGGTAGAGAAAGTTCCTTTTACCAGGTCACAATATGGGGGAGTAAAAAGTGCACGAGTTTTACATGTAGAAAGATCTGAGTTCCAATTCAATATGATATGGTGATTAACAACATTGACTATGCAATTGGGCTGCCTACCTTTGGTCTACTACTAACTGACCCACGGTTCTTTCTGTGCCTCAGTTTTTCCATCTGTAGAGTGGGGATAATAGTACCTAACCTATAAGATTGCAGTGAGGATTAACTACATGCAGTTAATTCATGTAGAGCACTTAGAACTGTGTCGCAAGTAAACCCTCAGGCAATGTCATCTATTGTTACTATTAGTAAATTCTGGTAGCCACTACTTACTAGCTTAATGACCTTGGGCATTCTTTCTCAACCCCTCTGAATCACCTTTCTTACCTCTGCAAGATTATTGTGAGGATTAAAATAAATAATACAAATAAAGCAGATGTTAGGTCATCAACAAATGTTAATTATCTCCATGCTCCCACATCAGCCTTAAAACGACGAGGCAACTATATGGCACCAAACTCTGGCTCTATTAAGGAGATTTTTACTTTGGGCCTTGAATTTCCTCTGCCCTTTAACCTTACTGGGCTAAGCAGCGTCAGTGGATACCATTAAATATCATGCCTGCCTAAAGTCGCAAATAGTACAGACAGATAAAGTAAAAACAAGCAGAGGAAGAGGAGATAAAGAAAGGAGGGTATATATTGTCTAGACTACTTGAGTCATAGCAACTTCTTTTGGATTCTGTCAGCTTGCTTTCACACAATCCAAAAATGGCCTGTATGGCTAGAGGGACCAAGATGTAGGTTTTTGGTGCATTTGTATTAGTTGTGAACAAACTCAAACATGGCTTTACTGTAGGTTTTTTGTTTTTTGTTTTGTGTGTGTGTGTGTGTGTGTTTGCTGGTTTCTAAGTAGTCTGTTCCATTCTCTGTTTTCTGGGTTGCTAGGATGAACAGGAGCCACAGTACATTTTATTAGCTTTGGTTATTATTAAGTCGTGTCTCTGGTCCTTCCCTCTGTCACTTTGGCTGCGGCTGGGTCCTTCCAGAGGCTCCTTTATCTAGTGGCCCTCCCTACATTTCCCCAGCTACTGAACAGGTTCCTCATCATTGTCCAGGGATGTTGTGTGTATTGCATTACAGAGTCTGATCACCATCATCACATGGGCCTTTTGGGAGTGCCAGGAATTTTCCCACACACCAGCGACCAGTCACTTTTCTTTTTGTCAGGAGAAGACATCCTGGGGGATATTGCACAAGGGGAGACTTTGGGGCTGGGTTTGGGCCAGTCTCCTAGTCCTGCCCTTCCTTTGGTTGATGCTCTGGGCAAGGTGTATACCTCCGGCCTGGACTAAGTGCTCATCTCACTTCTCAGCACCATCGTCATGTTGAGCTGCCTTTTCCTCCTGAAGGCATTTCTTGCTCTTGGGTCCCTGATATCCTGGGTGGCTTCTGGAGAGCATGGTGAGCTATTACTTGGATTCCTTGGCTGACAGTAATAGAAAGTGACTAAGGAGAAATTATCCCCTGCCTCTTTCTGAAGTGAGAGTCCTTATTTGTGGAAATGGTGATCCCTGTAGGACAGGACTGGATGTGTAGATTCTCAGGACAGCCGGGGTAGGTCTTCCTGGCTTGGAGGTAGGACTTCCAGTCTGGCTTACTAGAGGTTCTAGGTTTTCCCTAGGGCTCCTTAAATGGGAACAAGATCACCCCAACCTTTCCCTCTCTTTATCCACAAAGTGGCTGGTTGTTTAGTCGTGGTGGGTGCGTGTCACTGGTTGTGTGGGGGGAGGAGAAAGTGGTTGCAGAGATATTGGATAGGAATGTTTGCAGAGCCTGAAAAATCCTTGAAGTGCACTTGGCTTTCATTCCCTGTTTCTTGAGGCCCAGCCAGTTACCCAATCTCGCGTGCTATCTTTTGCAGTGAAAGAAGGAGAATGCCCTCCTAATAAGAACCTGTGCAAAGAGCTGTGCTGGGGGGACGAATCATGTCCGGCTGGGCAGAAGTGCTGCAGCAACGGCTGTGGTCGGGTCTGTCGAGGAGGCATTCCGAAGGGTATGTTGGCTGGACAGGCAAAAACCCAGACCTTGCCTCTGGGCTAGAAAGACCTGGAGAGCTTCCTACCTCCTAGATTGCTCTCTCTCTCTCTTTTTTTTAATGTTTATTTTATTTTATTTATTTATTTTTTGCTCTAAAGCATTTTATTAGAATCCTTTTGACAAGACCAAGTATTTGATTACAATGAAGCAAAGTGGTCTGAATGATATTTAAATATCTCAAAATTTCTATGCAGTTTTTTTTCCTCAAGTTCAAAGCTGCTCACAGGTTAATGCAGGACAGCTAGATGAAGTTCCTAGGATTTGCTCAACACCAAATAAGACACATCCTCTCGTTAGCAAAATCCATAGGAACCAGGGAGAAAGGACATGGCTCTTCACTCCTCATTGCAGCCCAAAGATTCAAGTGGCAGGAGCCACTATCTAGGCGACCCAGAAGTCTCAACAGCACTTCTCCAAGAGGCTAAGTTCCCAACTTCAGCCTTTCAGTCACCAGATTAGACACTGATCTGTGAAAGGGCACTGCCCCAAGTAGGCTTCTAGAATAATCATGCTAGAAAAGTAAAAAGACAACCATTGAGAAGCACAAGCAAATTTAAAGGCCCTCCTGTTGGCCCCTTCT